TCTCTATTGACATGGTGCACACTCACCTCTTGCAGACGCCTAACAGCCGCTTTTATTTCACGAAGAAGAAAAGTCCATCTAGACCGTTCCATATCCTTTCCTGCGATACTTGTTGTTGCCATTAAACAATCGGATTCCAGTATCACCGGCAAGTGTATCCATTCTGCTGCCAAGTTGATTCCTTCCGAACAAGCAAGAAGTTCTGCCTCTTCTGCCTGAGAGCATCGTCTGAGATAGCGCCAGGAGCTTAGGAGCACTCTTCCCAGGCAGTCTCTGATAACCACTCCGATACCACATCTTCCATCACCCTGATCAAACGCGCCATCCACGTTGATTTTGGCCCAGCCTTCTGGAGGTGGTTGCCATTTGGACTTCGTATGTATCTCCTTCACAGAGGGCTTGGACACACCCCCCAAGGTATTTCCAGATTTACCATTAGGATCGGCTGTGGCTTGTCGGACGAGTGACAGTATTTCCGCATAATTCTGCAGGAAAGCCACCGAACCTGTCACAGATAGCTATACCTCTGATACCTGCATGGCTGCATATCTATCTGTTCCTCTATGATTGTTATACCACTCTATTCAGAAATACTCAGTGTTTAGAATTTAGTAATTTGCAACTTTGCAACTAATATATTGCCCCAGAGTCATGCGTACAGTTGCAGAGGCCAGAGAGATTACCTCTTGAATAGTCTTGACCTTCCATTATCTTTTTTTAATAAAATAAATTCACCAACCAGCGGGCCTCAAATGATGTTTTATTTGGAGAGGAAGCACGAAGATGAATACGGTAGTCATACAGACAGACAGTTGGCTTGACTTCGTTTCACTTCCAAATAAGATCTCTGCCTTGGCCGGCGCCGGCGACGCGGAGTGGTACTACGCAACGGCAAATTTTCAGGCTCCCCCAAGTCCGCGCGCGTATTCTGAAGACGACGGAATAGGCCGAGAGAGAAAATACGAGGAATAAGTTCATCTGAGGTCCCTTAATTTTACACCGAATTCGATTTTCATCCTTATAGACATAGCATACAACCTAACGATTTTGTTTCCCCTATGAGGTATAAAAAGAAAATTAATGAACCCGCAAATATCGGCAAAACAACAAGTATTGTTAACAAAGAAAAATAACTCATGATAGTGTGATAAAAGACGATACGTTTTGACCAGAAAAGCCCATGCCGTTGTTGGACGAAAATCGGATTCGGTGTAAAATTAAGAGACCCCAGATGAACTTATTCCAAAATCCAATGCACGCCGTTGTTGGGCCTTTGGGGTTTATGGGCCTTAAATAACTAGATCAAGCAACAATTGCTTACACATGTAATGGAAGAAGAAAAAAACGTATGCAGAGAATAATCAGAATATTGTGCTACATATAAAGAATAACAAGTATGGGGATCCTGCAGCATAGATCTATATAATTTAATGTTTCCTTTTTGAAGTGTTTAACTTGGTTCTGAATAAATGACTTGTTGTTTGCCCTTGTATATTTAGCCATCTTTCTGAGTTTTCTCTCACTTGTACTGACTGTTCCTAAACTTGTTGATTGGGTCACAAGATAGCTATTGCTAATTAAGGTTACATTCAGACCTACCTCTCGTCCCAAAAAGAAACTAATCCTAACCATAAAACTGAATATATGTGTGTCCAGATTCGTAGCTAGGATTTGCTTTTTTGAGAAAAGTACGAATTACCCCCTGAACTATTAGGTGAGTATGAATAACACCCCTAAACTTGAAGACCAGACATCGCTCACCTCGAACTTTTAAAACCGAACAAGAAACCCCCCCTGAACACTGTTGCGAGCGGTTTAGAGTTTTAATATTACACGTGGCAGTCCAGTCAGCAATACTTTTTTTAAAATAGTGTGCCCATTTGTCAGATTCCCCACCCATCTTTTCTCTCTCTTCTCCGTCTCCTTCAGAAACGCGCGGCCGCCCCGCTGTCCCGCACGCGGGAGAGAGGGCGAAGCGGCGGGGTGCCTGCCGAGGCCGGCGTCATGGAGACGGAGGCGAGGGCGGTGCAACCGGAGACACGGTCGACGGCGAAGGTGCAGCGGCGGAGGCGGCCATGGCTTGTGTCAGCACCGTGACAGCGACGCATCGCCAGCTAACCACCGTGCCGTCGGTGGGGCGACGGGCGTTGGCTGCCGGAAGTCCATGGGGCGGAGAGCTATAAAAAAAAGAAAAAGAAAAACTTCTTCCTTCTTGGTGGCGTCCAAGCTCTGGGCCACCGTGCATGGCGGAGGAGCTCAAGTGCTCAACTGTGAATCGATTTGAAGCAACAAACGTTCCGAATTCCATGGACACATCAGATCGAGATCGATTATTATCTCCACCTCAAAAAACTGAGTAATGATTTTATCGAACTCGGGCGACCGTGGTACATGGCGTTGTGCGTGGTGGTGGCCTGCGCCTTGGTCCTCTCGTTCGCCGTCTTTGTCTGCGGCCACAGCTCCGGCGTCGTTCTCCCCCGGAAGAGGTTGTGGTGGTGGCGGTGGCGGCAGAGGCTATGGTGGTGGTGGCTCTCTATCTCCGCCGCCCCACCTTCGCCGTCGACCGCGCGGCACTCGCCTCCGCCTCCATGCCACTGGCCGCGCCCCGCCACGTCAACCCTCTCCCGCGCCGCCGTATTTCTCCGCATGCACATCGCGCTACTCCTCCAGAGCGGGCCGGCCGCCGCCGCCGCACTCTTCAGAACGAGAGGAGGAGAGAAATAGAGGTGGGGATTCTGACAAGTGGGCCCGCTATTGTTTTTAGAAAAAAATTGCTGACTGGACTGCCACGTGTGCTATTCGAACTCTAAACTGCTCGCAACAGTGCTCGTGGGGTTTCTTGTCCGGTATTAAAAGTTCGGGGTGAGTGATGTCTAGTTTTCGAGTTTAGGGGTGTTATCACACTGATCACCCAAAAGGTAGGGGGGTAATTTGTACTTTTCTCTTGCTTTTTTTATGGGACGGAGTAGTATTTGCTACTACCGGTCTTCTGTTCCTAACCATGTACGTGCAGTTAATTAAACACTCAATCGTCTTTTGGATCGTCGAAAGTCCTTGCCTGACACCCCCAGTCTAAGAACACACACACCTATAGCATGCCAGTGAGCATAAATGTAGAAATTTACAATGGTAACACATGTCTAGGATTATTGTCTATATATTAATTGATCGATCCAATCAAGTTAAACATTCATTTATTATGCAAGTTTGAACATTCATTCATATCAAGGTACATGTGTGCTGCGTAGTACACGATCAATCTTAACCATTAAAATATAAACTCACTATAATCAAACAGTTAAGTTTTTTTTTCTTTTTCTTCAATTACTGTGAGAATTTCTAGCCTCCACAGCAAATATGGTGCTTCCTTTCAAACTTATCTTATTATAATATAATAGATAGATAATTAATGTAAAGTAAATCAAATAATTATTGTTGACTAGAATGTGATGATGCATACATAAAGGTTATGACCTATCAACTTGAATTGACAAATTACAAGTCCATGCATCATCATATCTTACAATCTTCCTCTACTCCATGGTCGTGCATGGGACGAGTTGATCTTATCTAGGACTAAATATATAGTGTTACATGTCACAAACGTGCCTCCCATGAATACACCATACCAAAATGAGTGTAAATAACATTCGTAGGTATTGTAGCGATCCAAAAAGCGGAAGCAACAAAGATATCCAATCTCCCAAATAACTCTTGCTAATGGATCGGCATCCTGATCCCCTAATCGAGTCATATCCTTGCATGAAAGTTATGTACCTGAAAGCACATAGGATTTAGGATAAATAACACAGCAGTTAATTACATAAGAAAAAAATGGCACTAAAGATGTCATCCAAAACACAACAAGCCCAGGCCAAGACAAAGTAGTCAAGCCACTCAATAGTTTTTCAAGTTAACTTGCAACAGCGATCTGGATATGTATAAACAAATTAAACTTTTTTTTCCAAAAAAAAAGATTTAAACGAAAACTAGGAACGATAAATAATTAACCAGCCTATGAATTAGTGGCAAGGTAACAAAATTAACAAAAGAAGGTAACAAACACTCCCAAAGGTGTAATGGAATTAATTTCGCGGATACCTGATCCACCTAACACAATAGTAACCGATATAGCCTACCTAAAAAAATGAAGTGGCTTATATTAGTAAAAAAAATCTTTTTTTGATCATTAGTAAAAAAAATTCTCGATGACATAAATTGCAACATAAAATTTACAAAATTATAAAAATTCCTTCCCCCTAACATTTTTTAATCTCGTTAGAAAGAAATCAAGCGACAAGGAGCTGCACCAACTGTTGTGAGAGGGAAGTAGAATAGAAGAACATAAATGTAGGACTCGGTGATGGTACTTGTCGCTGGTGACCGTGCACGACCAATTGGGGGAGAGAAGGTTGTAGCGGGGAACATGATGGAAGCTCTGGAGGAGGATAGGGCAAGGAAGAGGCACACTTTGGGATGATCTGCATTATACAGCAGCGGTGTTGGTTGGCTGGTTGCCCGATGAGGAGGAGGGGAGAGGTGTAAGGATCGAACATGGACAAGAACAAGTCTACCAGAGGAAGCTAGGATGGTGAACGGTAGCAAAAACCAAACAACCAAATCTTTTAGCAGAAATAAAAAGAACACCAAAACTTAATGGACTAACCTGTTGATCACAGTGTGATCGTCCTTCTCCTGCTGATCCGTCTGCTTACAAAATAAGGAAACATAATTTGACTAAAGTTTTGAAAGTGCCCACAAAAAACCCTCTCTCATCTATTAAACTCAAGTCGTTACCCTAGATAAACCCTAGCTTTTCTCTATTCCTGTAGTTACTTGCTCTTGGGTTGAGCCCTTGTCTATTTATACCGAACATCTCTTGCCGTACGGATCCCTGTTTCGTCGCGCGCGCCGATCTCCTGTCGACTACGTACACGCTCCGGCCTTTTGTCAGCTGGGCTTGCAGCCATGGGCCGCCTCCAGCTGCTGTTGCCTTGCTTCCGATAAAATAAGTTCATTTAAGGTCCCTTCTCTGTTGCTGAGTTTGACATTCTTATGGATCAAGAAATTGGGTCTTGAGGAGAACCGTTTCTACAAGGGACCCACATCAACGGCCGATAAAAGCTGGCAAGCCGCAAGTCTAGCCTTTCCTCGTCGTCTTCCCGTCTCCTTGCCCGAAATCCCAAAATCCCCCAACCGCCCACCTCGCCATCCACGACTATCACCATGGATGTGTCTCCGGCGCCGCCATGGGCGGAGCTCCCGGACGCCGTCCTGCTCGGCATCGTCCGCCGCATCCCATGCGCGTTCGACCGCGCCCACGTGGGAGAAATCTGCCGCTCATGGCGCAGGACGCTGCTACAGATCCCGCCACCGCGGCCGCTCCCGGGGATCCTCCTCCTGACACCCCACGGGCCTACCCTGTCCTTCGTCGTCGCCGGCGACGCCTGGTGCACCCACCCCGCCTTCGTCCCCGAGGCCTTCCGCCGCGCGCGCTACTTCGGCTCGTACGACGACTCGTGGCTCTTCCTCGCCGTTGGCCAAGACAACGGCCACGCGCTCTTCAACCTCACCGACTCCCAGGAGGAGGAACTGCCCAACTGGGGCACCTTCCAACTCCACGACCGCGAGCTTGGGGCCGAGATTCTCCTCGTCGCCGCCACCCTCTCGTCGAGTCCAAATGTACACGGATCCGTCGCCGGCGGCATCCTCACGGCTGACCTTCCGCCCGCCAACTCCATGGAGCACATCGCGTTCTGGCGCACGGGTTCTGATGTGATGTCAAAGGCCATCAGGGCAAGCGGGGTTGGGCCATTGGAGGACGTCACATACCACGACGAGGCCTTCCATTTCCTCACCCTGGACGACATCATTGTCGTGTGCAGAGCGTCGATGGCAGAGCCAGGGTCACCAGGCAAGATCGTGGTCGTGGATGAGGTGCATGTGAGTATCGAGCTGGGCAACATCGCGCCACGCGATGAACTCGGTTATCGCGACCTGCGCATCGTAGCCAGCTACCTCGTGGAGTCCCGCAATGACCTGCTCATGGTCGAGAAGCTAGCTCCCAACTTGCTGTCGCCGGCATCGGCGTTCCGGGTGTTCCAGATGATCAAGGAGAGGTTACACGACGGCCAGGTTCGTTACTCATGGGAGGAGCTGACGACCAAGCTGGATGGCCGGATGCTGTTCGTCGGACAAGGTTGCTCCAGATCATATGAGGCGGCTAACTACCCCGGTTTGGACGCAGGCGTCTACTTCTTGGATGATCGGAGCACCCGCCACGACCCCAAGATTCCATTTCAAGAAGCCCGCGCACGGCGGTATCTCTGCAGCGACAACGGGAAATGGTCAGGAACACCTCCCCAGATCAAGCTCTGCGTTCCGGATCCAGGCCCATCGAACCACTCTCCTCCCGTTTGGTTTTTCCCTTGAGACGACAGATTTCTGACACCTTGTTACTCTGTCATGCTTCATCTGCACTGAGTTTTCTGTTTCTGCTTGCTGAGTTCGTTGGCTCTCCTCATGTTGATAGTTGCCTGATTAGTCTCATGTAGTTGTATGTGTTTTGTTTCTGCTGGAGTAGAACTCCTACAGTGCACAAATCGGCAAATCACTTGCAGCAGATCAGTGTGTAGTTCAGTTCCTGTACTTTACATCCCTTCCACCATTCTGGAACCTTTTCTGATGATAACCATGAGCCCGTACATCTTTGCATTTTCATTGATAACTGATGTCTTTTTTTGAACGGAACTGATAACTGATCTCTGAACATCTGCAGTTGTGCATGTTTGTGCTCGTTTTTGGGGTGGATGGAGTTTTACTTAGCTTTTCTTGAAATTGCAATGAATCTGACTTAGTTTTCTGTTGCACTCATTCTGTATGCTTTAGCTTTCTAAAATTTATTTAGTCTCATGAGAGCTCTCTGATAAGTAACTTTTTTTTTATAGACTCTGATAAGTAACTGAAGAAAGTGAGAACATTGATGTTCTAGCTGAATTTCAGTCTGATCAATGGCCATTGTAAACTACTCTGATCTTAATTACTTTCTCCCCTTATTGTTTCTTGGCTTGGTTTGGCCGTTGTAAATGACTCCGACCTTAATTACTTTCTCCCCTTTCTTTTGGTTTATCCACTGTGAATTACTCTGATCTTAATAGTAATTGTACAAAGATACACAAAGTGTATTCCCGGAAAAGTATCAGACTCATCAATGGCCGAATGATGACTTATTTTATAATCCCTTTTCCATACATTGCTAGTAGAATTTTAATGTCAAGCTTGGTCATGTGTTCAGAGCTTTGTGCACATCTCACCTGAGTGTGTATAGGCTCAAATTATTTTATGTTTGGTGCCTGCAGATTATTCTGATTCTTTCAGTGTTGTGGAGTTGGTAGCACTAATAGTCCTTTTCTAGCAGAGAAAACTTGAAACTAAAAGATGTCTGGTTCAGTAATCGTTCTTACAACTTTCTGGTTCTATTGTTCTTGATGAAATTGTATGCAGAAATAACTGGGCTGGCGTTACATGATCTTTGTGTTGAAATGGATAATTCAGTGTGAGAATGTGATGTTAATTACGTAAAAAAAAAAGGAATGTGATGTTAATAGTGTTTAGACATTCCTGATAGTTGAGGGTTTCACTTGTGAACCGGGTTTACATGCACGGATTGTGAAGTGTGATTACGTTATAAGCTTTCTAAATGATAAGGCATTGCTGCATGGAATATTGTTCTATTTATTATATTATTAAAACAGTTTTGAAAGTAGACATCACATTTATTCTGGATGCTAAAAATTATCACATTAATCGAAGAAAAAATTCAAGTAAAAATACAATTTAAAAATAACTGAAATTCAAATGGTCTCCCTACACCGCCACATGAGCTAAGCGGGGACAACGATCGACGGTAGTGGCGCGACGACGGCTCCATGGCCTCGTCCAATGGGCAGGATGAATTGGATCATCGTGACACCGGCCTCCCTTCTCAACATTGCCATCCTTGTTCGCACTTCCTCCTTCCCCAAAGGCGGCTGACGTGGAGCATAGGAGGGTGGTCGTGCAAGGGTGGCGGGGGTCGGAGTGGCCTGACTCCATCTCCCTCATCTAGTCAGGTGTGTGTACAAGCTCACCCCCTCCAACGAGTTCAATGTCACCCACCTTGCCTTTTCCACGTCGCGTGCAACCCTCATTCTCACCGCCTCCTGTTCAACCTTCGTGCTCCTTTTCTCTGGGGATCTCCTCTTGTCGCTTCCTTGGATCTCCATCTCCGAGGAAGTCACCTATACTCGCCGTCGTTTTGCTTCAAGTAACTGTGCCCTCCTTGCCTTTAGCGAAAAGAAGGGTGTCATCCACGTGTTCTGTGTCGACAAGTAGCCATCATTGGACTTGCCCACATGCTCAACGCCCACTCCATCGAGACACGGGTTGTCCAGTACCCCTATCGTTGGCGGTGACAAGGTCCACCTCTTTTCCGCTGGCAATGTGCGCTCCTCCTCTATTAGGATGTGTCCTTCGAGATGGTTGTGTTCAATGTCCCCGCCTCTCACCGTGACTACATCCGCGCCGGCATGGTGTCCCTTGCCAACCACAACAACTTCGTCGCAGGATCCTACGACCACAACATCAAATTGTGGGATGCCCGCATTGGGAAAACCTTGATGTTGTCTTCTCTCGTGGCAAATTGGTGGAGAATGTGTTGTTTCGGCAGTTCAACAGGATGCTAGCAATCGTTGGGCTCGTGCGAATCTTGGCCCATCGTATTGATACGAGGGAGTTAAATTACACCACTTTTAATAATTTAGAGGTGAAGATATCCAGTATTACGGTTGAGAGGTACCTTGGATCTTTATATGAGAGAGTCAAAGTGGACTTACTCCAAAAGATTGTCAAGATCCACAAGAACCAGACAAGAGACCATTGAGGCCCATATCGGTAGAAAGGATTTTCAGGCCTACTTCTACGCTCAACTGGATTTGTTTACGGCCATGAGCTACTACCGAATTCGACTTCGCTCACGGCCCGTCTTGACGGACAAGATATCTATTCAAATTTGAACGAAAGGGGCATGACACGTGTTACTGCCAGCTCAGCACGGCACCGTCGTTCCGGCTATAAATGGCCCCACGCTTCAGCGTCTCGTGCAGAAAGTCCATTACTCTCCTCCCCGCATCAGAACACAGAGAGAGAGAGAGAGAGAGAGAGAGAGAGAGAGAGAGAGGTAGGAGAAGAGTGGAGGAGCGCCGCGAGGAGGCCATGGCGGGAGGAGGAGGAGAGCTCCAGTGGATCGTGATCCATGGTGTCCGCGATGCGGTCCTCAGAGCCGCCGCGATCATCGGCCCTCGCCTCGCCGTCATCGGCGACGTTCGCGTCAGCGACGCCCCTGCGGTGCTGACTCTGCTGGAGAAGGAGGTCGTGCGCCAGGACTGGGAGATCGAGCGCCGCCACCGCCTGGACAGGCTTGCCAGGCTCGACCACGAGCTCGCCATCATTCTGGAGGCCATCGTGCCGATGCTGATGCATACTCCGTTCCACATCGTCGCCGGCCGGGAGCTGCAGCGCTACGGGTGGTCGATTCAGCATCTAGCGGCGTCGATCTTCGGCCCCGTCCACGCCCTCCACGCCGCCGTCGGCCCCGTCGGACGCTTCCTCCGCCGACATGCTCGACATCAGCACCACGGCACGAGGGATGCTGCTTGGCTCGCCGGCAACATCCTGGAGGTGCGCGATCGGGTTTCGGCCCTGAGGTCCCTGGTTGTGATGTTCCCGGAGGAGGACCCTGCTGCCGCTGCAGCCGCTGCGGGCGACGACGACCACGACGACGACGGTGCAGAGTTCGTGGAGGACGATGCTGGTTCTGATGTCGAGGGAGGAGGAGGAGAGCTCCAGTGGATCGTGATCCACGGTCTCCACGATGCGGTCCTCAGAGCCGCCGCGATCGTCGGCCCGCGCCTCGTCATCATCGGCGACGTTCGCGTCAGCGACGCCCCTGCGGTGCTGGCTCTGCTGGACAAGGAGGGGGTGCGCCAGGGCTGGGAGATCGAGCGCCGCCACCGCCTGGCCAGGCTTGCCAAGCTGGACCACGAGCTCGCCATCGTTCTGGAGGTCATCGTGCCGATGCTGATGCATACGCCGTTCCACATCGTCGCCGGCCGGGAGCTGCAGCGCTACGGGTCGTCGATTCAGCATCTGGCGGCGTCGATCTTCGGCCCAGTCCACGCCCTCCACGCCGCCGTCCGCCCCGTCGGACGCTTCCTCCGCCGACATGCTCGGCATCAGCACCACGGCACGAGGGATGCTGCTTGGCTCGCCGGCAACATCCTGGAGGTGCGCGATCGGGTTTCGGCCCTGAGGTCCCTGGTGGTGATGTTCCCGGAGGAGGACCCTGCTGCCGCTGCAGCCGCTGCGGGCGACGACGACCACGACGACGGTCCAGAGTTCGCAGAGGACGACGACGAGGAGTAGAGACTAGAGAGGATGACGACGAGCATTAAGCAAAGGTTCTTCTAATTACTTCTCTCCGATCAATTTACTGTCATCTGCACTGACCACTGAGTTGTTTTTTTGAGTTTGTTGGCGCTCCTCATGTTGATAGTTGTCTGATTAGTCTCTGTAGTTGTCTGTGTTTTGTCTCTGCCATAAGCTGAAGCACAGCTCGTTTACTGCAGAAATCTGTAAATCACTTACCATCATTGCTTTAACCATTCTGGTAACCCTTCAGATAGTTCATGAGCCTACTTGATCTTTTTTTTTTTTTTTTGGTATTCTGAACTTTCTATGGGCATCTCGCTTGCTTAGGAACTAAAATGCAGGTTATTTCGTCTTAGCTGCCTGCAGATTATAATCTTTGTGTTGCTACGATGTTAAATGAATCTAGGAATCCTCCTCTCTGAAATCTGAAGTAAAACTTGTGATTCAATCCCTGTATTTGGTACTTTCTGGTACCCTTTTGTTCTCTGTGAATCTGAATGCTGATGGTTGTGCATGATTTGTGCGTTGAAGAGTTGAACTGTATAATTCAGTTTCTACGAACTGAAAATGTGGTCCTTAGGCCTTAGCTAATACGCATCCATGATAAATGCAACTACTCATTCACTGGAGTATCCCATGAACTGGATTTACATGCATGGGATGTGTTCTGGCACTGCGCTCAAACGATCAAGTTACTTTGTCACCCATGCTTCATCTGCGCCTTGTCTGTTTGTCAGTTTAACATCTTTTAACCTGTGTGGAATGCAGATTATTTCATCTTTGATTCCTGCATATTCTAGTCTCAGAAGAAACAACTTGAAGTCTTGAACTAAAATTGTATGAGATGTTTAAGTTCAGACTTCAGAATGCATAAATAGTTGGACTAGCATTACTCCACTGTTCTATTGAAATAGATTGATTTACCATCAAATTAGAAATGAATCAAATTAACTGACTTAACATGGAATCATTTTCTGCTTATATAGTTTATAAGATTGCTTGTCAATCTTGTTTTATATCCCTGAATTTGCAAAGAAACCCAACTGTGAGCACAGATAGTTGTACCTTTGATATATGCAGATCGATTTGCTTCTTTATGGATTGCTAATCCCTATCTGACCACTCTATTATCACTACCAAATAGGTACCTTTTGATACCTATTTGAGCACAGAAAATTGTATGTTTGATAAACTATACATTTTATTTCTACTGTAAGCTGAAGCAGGACTCCTTTACTGCATAAACCACTTGCTGCTAAGAACTTTACTTATCAGCATTGCCTCTCTGGGGAAATTTCATGGTTAGTAGCTCTCGGTGTCTCATTGGATGATTGAAGTGCGGACATATGCATGTTTGTGCTTGGACTTTCAGTTAGCAGTGCTCATCATTTTCTTGCTAATTGGAATTATATTTTACCATCCAGTTGCAAGAGATCTGAATTAGACTGGTGCTGTAGGTCTTTCTGTACATATTATATTGCTTGAATTTGTTTACTGTATGCAGGGATGCCTGAGAAATAACTGAAGAAAATGAGAACATTGAGGTTTCAAAATTGAAATGCAGAACCCTGCATGCAGGGGCGGATCCACAATGGGGGCGGAGGGGTCTTGAGACCCCACTACCGCCCCCGGGACAATGGAGACCCCCCTAAGCCCCCACTAATTTTTTTTCCATAGATTTATAGGATATGGGGACTGGAGTTTCAATTTATGCTGATGTAGTTTATTCAGTCCCCACTACTATATTTTTCTAGATCCGCCCCTGCCTGCATGGCTGACTGATGATTTGTTGGCTATTATTTTATTTTCCATGTATTGGTACAACCTTCTGTCATGCTTGGTTATGCCTTTCTGGAGTAAACATTTAACCTGTGTAGAGTGCAGATTATTTCATCCTTGGTTCCTGCAGTTTGTAGTCTCAGAAGAAATAACTTGAAGTATTTTTTTGCGAACGCGCAAGAGTCTTGAACTAAAATGTGTGAGATGTTAAGTTCAGACTTCAGAATACAGAATTGGTTGGATTAGCAACTAGCATTACCAGTCTACTACGGCACTCTCTCACAGTGTGAGCTACTTTTCTATTGAAATAGACAGATTTACCTTTAAAGCAGAAATGAATCAAATTAACCGACTTAACGTGAACTCGTTTTTCTGCCTATATGGTTATTAATAAATTTATTAATAATATGAGCACACCACAGATAATTGTTTACACCTCTGAATTTATTAATAACTAGCCGGGACCCCGCGCGTTGCCGCGGGCATAACAAATACTTCCTCCGTTTTATAATGTAAGACTTTTTAGCATTGCTCATATTCATATAGATGTTAATGAATCTATCTATCTATTTATCTATGTGTGTGTGTAAATTCATTAGTATCTATATGAATGTGGGCAATGCTACAAAGTCTTACATTATGGAACGGAGGGAGTATATATATTCAAAACCGTGAGAAGATGAGAAGGTTCCCCTGATTCATATTAAGCTTCAAGCTCTCAAAATATCTCCATCAAACTTTATACCGAATAACATCATTGAATACCATCACAAAGTTTTTGGCCATAGTTAATTTACCAAACTTTTAAACGATTACATCATTTGCAACCATAAGCTCTGTAGCACACATATGCCTGTTACGCCATTTACAACCACACGCAACCGTGTTGAAGGCTCTGGTCAATCCACCCCAAACCATTTTGTTATCAATTGGCTAGCGGATAAACCAAACAAAGCTATTTTGCGTACAAATTGGCCTTCTGAAAACTATCCATAGATGAGGCTGAAAGTTTCTTAACTAAAGGCCACCACCAAAATGGAACATCTGTTACTTCCATATGCACTCAATTGTGATGGATTGACAACTAATTGTAAAATATTAACATAATCTTGACTATCTTGTAAGTGATATTTACATGTATAGTTATGGTATGGAGTAGCCCATAGGGTAACACGCTGTTTAACTAAGCTGCCTTTTTGTTTTAACTTTGAGGAAACCAAACTGACCTAAAATGGTTAGATTGCGGCAATTTGTTTCTAGAAACGGTTGAAATCAATCTGCAAGAGTATAGGAGAATGTGCATATGTAGCTGTAGAAATCCTCTATTTCAAAAGTAGCTCTATAAATCCAATAGAATAGTTGGTAAACAAAACGTATTGTACGCTTGCAACTAAATGATTATATGTAAATTAGAATAATACTATACTCTAGAGCCTGACAAAGGGAACTATTAAGATTGCAGGAATCTAAATGATGAGCCAATAACAGTGTTAAGGATCTTTCTGTAAAGTCAACATATGCATTATGACCAATCACTGGATAAACAGCAAGGATGCACACATGACATTCATCCTTTTTCAAAATTAATAACTGAGCTATCCCAAAGAAATTAAACAATTGCTAAAATAATTTGAATATAATTTGTGCTCATAATTACAAATGGTGCTACCGCGGATAAATGTGTTCTTTTCTTCAGATAGAAGAACTTGGAAGACTTGCGGTAGTTTACTCCCTTGCTGATAAACATCAGTTACTGAAAGAAAATGCAGAAATGTTAGAACAAATTTAATTATTACCTTGATGGTTATTATGAATTGAAGCCTCATGGTGATAAACTGTTCATATGGCCTCATTTGCACATAACAGCAGAGTTTGTACTATGCAAAATGAAGAAATGCCATCAACTTATGTGTATTCACTCAAATGAAGGCCCTCATCATCCCATAAATGCTACAAAAGCATATGCAAAGCCATGGAACCTACAAAAGCAAGGTGTTACACATGCAGTTCAACAAATATATCACTCACTGAAGACCATGAACCTGACAGTCCATACATAGGCCTTGTAATGTAAGCAATCATGGCATCATACTACAGCAAGCGGTTGCGATCAAGTTGAATTGTGTGCCTTCTGTACTAAACATCAAGATTATCTATGAAATAGTAAATTATCTTCTAGCTTGAATCAACACTTCATTCTTCTCATTTGTATCGCCATGAAGCCAATTAGGAACACTGAAGCAGGTAGCAAAAAAAACAATCTTATGTACACCAAAGCAGTAACTAATTATTCCTATGCATGCACAAATAGAACATGTGCAATCGGACAAGTAGCACAATGATTTTTTATAGGTTTACCCTTCATGGTGCATTGTTTTGTGGCATCCTGCACTAACCATAGGTATATGGTCACATCGTACAATTACATAGGGAAAAAAATCAGGCCAATATCTCTTTGTGCATGCTATTTTGCTGTGTGTAAAAAAATGAAAATATGTGCTATAACCACATTGCTGTTAAACAAATGGAATCCCAGCAATATATATAAAACTATCATGCATCCCTGAAACAATGGGGAATCATGTATTATGAAAGAAATAGGATAACCTTATTGTTGTTTGCATTTTAGGCCGATTGTACAGGTAGCAAACATATCAGAAGAAATATTTATGGATTAGTAGGAATCATACCTATATAGAGAGCAAAGCAAAGGTAATCTGAGTAGTAAAATACCTACTGCAGAAAAGAACAGTTATGCAGATCAACAATACGAGGAAAACAAAATGAACCTAATAAGTATTAGTGCATACAGAGTGGTAGAGGATGGCAGTACCAATTGGAGAGGTGTGGAGGAGCCGACAAGCAGCAGTCACAGGAAGCGAGGAGATGGCCATGGACGAGATGTTTGGTGGCAGTGCTGACCATTGGCTCCACGAGAAGACGACGGCGGATGTTGGCTCCACAGGGGGTGGCGCAGAACAGTGGCTCCAAGGGAAGGGAGCGGCACAGCTGGCTCGACGATGACGAAGCGACACGGGGTCGCCGGCAAGTAAGGCGAGAAGACGACAATGTTGGCTGGCTGGCTCGGCGACATGGAGGCTGTAGTGCTCGCTGCTTGCTCCGCGAGAAGACGGCGGCGCCGGTCGGCGGCGAGGATTTTTGGGGCGGAGGTGGCGAGGATTTTGGGATGGGGATTGGGGATTTGGGAGTAGCATGGGTGGGGAAAGGTGGGGAATGGGGAATGGGAGAGAGAATCTTTCGGAGCCACAACGTGCTGATGGACGGCCGGATGGAATCAAGATGGCGAGATCGCACGGTGCATGCATACGCTGGTACTGTTACCCTGTAGCAAAGGCTAGCTGTGCTGTGGTTCACCGGAAGTGGGTTACGAAAACTAAGGATTTAATATGATATGACGTGAGCACTGAAATAGACAGGCTTGTTTACACCTCTGCCTATATGTCTATATATGATGCTCGAGCCAGCCACAAGAATGTCAATTAAGAATGTATAGTAACAAGCTTACTAGATAGACACTGAAACTAAAGAGATAAATCTGAAGCTAACTTATCCAAACTAATCCTGCGCCATCTTAGTTCCTGTGGTGTTTGCCTGTTTTTTCTTTTCCCGGCGACGGCGCTGATACTGAAGGCCCCACATGATGAGACACAGCATAATTAGCATGATATACGCTGTAAACCTTTTGCATGGCACCTACTGCAGGGCTCCAGAACAGTTAACTTAACTGTAGTTGGGACTATCTTTTCAATGTACCTCCTAATAGCTGAGAGCGCTCTAGGGGCTTCCATGAGAATATCCTCCTCTATGTGATTACAAAATGGAGAAGTTTTTAGGTAACACCTACAATCACCATGAATGGTGTCCAATGTAAGAGACTCGAGTGACACCACGTTCTTCAGAATATAACAAGTTAGCTCAACCAAGCTCTTTGCAGAGCAGAAACCAGAGATCTTCACAGTCTTGAGGCTGTCATGGCGGTTTTCAGGAATTTGCCTCAAACCCGAGGATTTTGCAAAAACCGATTCATGCTCCATGCTTCGCTGCTGCACCTGAAGATGGAAAGGAGAACACGATTGAGATAAATGGACCCAGAGTGAACAGCTATGTTAGCAGGACAGAGTTAATGGACAGTGCCTTACATCCAAGATAAAAGTTTCCAACGAAGGAGAAGCGTCAAGGAAAGAAACCAGAGAAAAATAATCATAGGACGGGGAAAGTGTCGATACTGCTATCAAACTAATGCTCAGGTGCTTGAGGTAGAGGAATTTGGTAGGCAGCACTGGTGTATTTACCGCCTGTATAACAAATATGACACGTCTAAAATCATACACAGGTATGACTAATGTAATACGCATATATATGTAATACTAGTCTATAACACCTAAAGCTTCTGGATATATATATACATACCTCAGGTCCTGAACGTATGTTAAGAGTTTCAAGATTTGGCATAATGGAAGGCAGCTCAGCACGAGCATAATGCACAGCATTCGCACGGCCCATGCCTAGCTTCTTCATTTTCAGTGTTTCTCCAAGTGAGAGCTTTGCCCCGACTCCTCTACAGAAAAAACTGGAGAGATTTGGAGTTTTATTCTCTAATATTCTCAGGTTAGAGCATCCAGAAACAAAAAAACTGGAGAGATTTGGAGCTTTGTTCTCTAATACTTTCAGGCTGTCACATCCAATAACAGTAAGGTTGCTGAGCTTCTGCAGGGAGCAAGGTATCTTCAAGCAAACTATCTCCGTGCAACTAGAAATGCGCAACTGCTCCAACGCAGGAGAATTGGAAAGAAGACACTGCAATTCTTCCCCCCTGATACTCACCGAACGCAGACGCAGGCTTGTAAGGCTTTGCAAGGGGCCGAGTTCAGCAGTGGGACGAAGGGCACACCAATCGAGTCTGAGGTACCTAATTGAATTTTGAATCCCATCAGATAAAAGTGAGCATGGGAAATTGTACTCTCTCTTGGTTTTACACAACACAAGGGTCAGCTCTTCAATCCCTGGCTTAACAACCACCTGAAGCCAACTGTCAAGATAGCGACTGGCATCAAACCCCACGACGCCAAGGTATTCAAGCCTGAATATTTTCACGCCAATGCCTGAGTGGTTCCTCATAATATGGTCAACTTTGCGGCTGAAATTCCCTCCACAAGCACTCGCATTCAAGCCAATTGTATCCTTATTTAAAATGAGATTGGGATGACTTCTCCAGGACTGTAAAAAGGTTCTAGACAAACAAGCAGCACGGGCAGCATCACGCATTGGCATTAGGGAATGTATATGATGCCAGATGTCCTGCGTACACAAGCATGGGATGGAAGATCAACATTGCAGTCGTAAATCCAAATGGTTACTTCCATTAGAGAACGAAAAACGGTAGAACATCATGGCATGCAGCGTTACGTAGAAAGATGGTGCAGTGAAATGTAAACATGGCATATAGAGAATTTTTGCTACCAGTGTCATTAGTGGGTTTTCCAAGGAGAAGAAATAAAGTTGCTAATGGCTAGCACGAATTAACTACCATGAAAAATACTTTTGACTTGGATTAAAAGAATACTTTTACTTGCTGTAGCAAATCTAGCCATTTGTTCTGGATTAAGGTAGCAACATAGCAAAACCAATACTCTTGTACGAAATGTGAAGCAGGTGGAAAGAAAAAATATTTTTCCAATTTTTCTTAATGCTAATAAGTGCAGCATAGCACTAAAGCACCCCAGTTATGCCAATTTATGAACATGGTACTAAATATGTAAAGCATCGCACTTAGGTAAAATTCTGAAGAGATTTGTTAGTAATACTGCCAGCCTTTGCAGAGAGAAAAGTGGTAACTAGAACGAAGAGAATCTGCTAGTTCAGTACGAGTGTAGGACTGTGGCCACATTGCAGTACTAAAATACTATATCTGACTTCTGTTTATATAAACAATACTGTAATATTCAGGTATTCAAGTATAGTCCCAAGAATTAGCCCTATCAGATCACTCATGGTAATATCATGCTTGGAATCTAAGCCTGCATCATCAGAATTTCATACAGCAGTACCTCAGGAAGGCATGGGTATGGGGTAGAACGTCTCATTGTTTTGACAGCTCGAGAATCACCATGCTGACAAGGTGATCCCTTTCTTTTACACCACCTAATCAGTTCATCTGCGACACAAAAAAAAAGAGGATAAGGATGGCTATGGTTGCAGGTTGCTCATACATGAATGCAGAAAAAAGGAAGAAACGAAGGCCCAATCTCTTGAGTTCAGAGTAAGAGTAAGGTGGCTTACTCTGGGCTCTGATTTGGCGGCGGCGCCGCTTCTGGTTGCGTTTCGCAGGCATGTGGAACTAGTAGGTCGACGACGACTCTTCTTCGTCAGATCTCACCGAGAAATCACTTCCGTTTCCCCTCCTTCAGATCACTATTTCTCTCCTATCTACTACTATCTGTTTTTGTACTTGAATTTTGACCTCAATTTCGGAAAATTCGACTAGGCATAAAAAGGATTGCGATGGCCCTGGTACGAGCAAGAGGAACCTGGACTCTTTTTATTCCCTTCCTTTTCCTATCAGGACTTCTTGAATTGCTCCAAATTGCGCCCTCCTATAGAAAATCGTTAAGATAATGGGAGTCCTTTTTCCTATCAGGACTTCTTGAATTGCTCCAAATTGCGTCCTCCTATGGAAAATCGTTAGAGAATGGGAGTATAAAATTTAGCCATATTGTAACATTTGCGCTGCAAACTTGTCGTTTAGATAAGCAGAACAATACTATCTCTCGATATAACAACTCCCGAAACTAAAAATCTCCTGCAACGGCAATAAATCTGCAAGCCCGGTTGAGTTGCAGAGAAGAATGAGTGAAATCGGACTCACCGGACTAGAGATGCAGCTTCTGGGGAGGCGGATGACGGCGGCGGCGGCGGCGGCGGGAGGAGGAGATTGAAGAGCAGCGTGTGATAAGGACGCGTGATGTGACCGGCTGCGGCGAGAAGTCAGCCAAACTAGAGACCGGGCGACGAACAGCAGCGGCGTAGGGCACGTCGGCGACGCGAACCTGGCGGTGGCGGCGGTGGTGCAGCGATGGAAGGAAAGGAGGGGCTAGAAAGAGAAAAAAAAATATCCAAAACATTAAGAGTAAATTACAGTTCATGCCACGTTTTATATTATCAAAGTTTTATTTTGATTACCTTTAAACTATTTTTTTTATTTTAGACCATGTAACTTTTTTTATTATTTATGTCTACCCTCTGTTCCGGTGAAGATATGATATGTATAAAGACGGGAAAGTGTATTGAAACCAATTTATTGATTGGTGCTGGAAAAGTTGTTTGGGTAGTTTAATCCGAAAAAATGGTAAAGTTACTTGGTTCAAAATAAAAGGATTAGTTGAAAGATGACTCAAAAGTGAAAATTTAACTATAAAGGATAGTCCAAACTGCAATTTACTAAAAAAAACTTAGTTTACAAGATCTCAATGGTGCTTTAACTGACAAACTAACTTATGGCCATTATATCAAATACTAGTCATTTCCGGTTTCCACCACCAAATTCCTTGCACTCAAGTGTCAAAGTCGATATCTGTTGACAATCTTTGGCACTATGCTTTGTGATACTTTCCATGGTATATACCGATAATATAAGTATTTGGGATTCAAATCTCCGAAAAAAGATTGAACACAACCTGGGGTTACCTACTTTGAACTAGTTTCATAACACATTTTTTTTAGGGAGAATTGTGTTTATACCCCAGCTTTCAATCTCAATTGTGATTTTACCCTAGTTTTTTAGCGTTTGCAATTTTACCCCCGCTTTCTCTGAACGAAGTTGCCGTTTGCCCCTACTATGGATGGCAGTTAGGTGGGTCCCACAATATTCAGTTAAGGAAAGAGAAATTAGAAGAGAAAAATAATTTTGGAAATATGGGATTACCATTGTACCCTTAAGTAATATATGTGGGTGTGCATCAGTACATGTTCGATATCCTCCTTCCCCCAGATCCATTCCCATCCCGAAGTCCTTGGCGCGGCGGCGCCAGAAGCAGGCGGTGGAGCAGCTCTTCAGCGCGGCCGGGAGCAGGTGGCGGCGCAGCTCCTCGGCGTGGCCAGGAGCAAGCTGCGGCTCCAACTCCTCGGCGAGGCCGGAAGGCGGCGGTGATGGCTCCTCAACACGGCGTCGCGAGCAGCAGGAGGCGGCAGGAGTACCTGGCAGCGACGGCGATCCTCAGCGCTATGGCAGGAGCAGCAGGCGATGGCAGCGACTCCTCGGAGCGGCAAACCATTGGTGATGAATCCTGCTCTTGACGGGTTCATCAGATCGAAAGGACTTGACCAACATGAAGATACCTGATGTGGCTGATACTATGCACTTATGCAGTAAGACACAGGATGTTAATGAACTTACCATTCATAGACATCATTCATGTTCATGCAATGTGGCGCCATTAGATTTTCATACGGATTTTGAATCATTTCACGAAAGCTCAGTACAAAATAAGGGTAAAAATACAAGTGTTGTTTAAAAAGTAGGGGCAAATATGCAATAGCTAGCAAGGGCATAAAAGTCTTTTCGTGCTCGACTTAACCCCGTTAAATTGACCATCCAAACCAGGGGCAAATCTCTACTTCGTTTCAAAAAAGTAGGAGTAAAAACGCAAACCCTAAAAAGCGAGGGCAAAATCACAATTGAACTTCAAAATAGGGGTAAGAATGCAATAGCCCCTTTTTTTTACTATAGTTGAATCAAATTCAAAGTAAACTCAAACTTGTTCAACACGAAGTTCAAAATTATTTAAAATTTTACATACCCTGCACATCTCGTACCCCAAATTTCACATCGATCAAGCACGTCCTCAAGACGGTTGCAGGTAAGACCGTAAGAGTGCCTAGCAGCGGCCATGCTAGATCATCAAATGGCCGTTTTGCATCACCAAACGGCTGTTTGAAACGAGACCAGGAGATCTTCAGATGCATAGAAACAAATGCATATATTTAGGAATTTAGGAACAGAGGTAGTAGAGACAGACAAATGAACATCATGAATATGCATGAATGATGATTGAATAATGATGGTGTCACCATTACAGAGTAATTACATCCTGTGTCAAAAATCAGGTGGTGTAAAATTAGACAACACTGCTTATCTACCTGTTAGTGGCAAACTAAAAAAAGGTAACAGCTGTCTCCTCTCTTGTTATGTACATCAAAATACAGCATCAGCTGATGCAGGCTATAAGAGACGGCTAAGCTCAGGTTTGGTGACTACTGTACTATGGCTTGCATAAGTTCGTCGTATTTACGATCGAGTAACCAGTTTGTTGTTCTTCGCTAACAACAGCAATGTGATCAATAATGCACCCCGTCTTTCTTTCTTTCTTGCCATGATAAATTTGGCTCCGATTCCCCTGCAGTTGTTGTATGATGGATGCCTATCAGCTTTGCCACTTCTACAGCTGGACGCCGGCATCCTTTAGAGCAGCAGTCACAGAAGCAGAGGCTTCCTCTAGGGTTCTTGTCTTCTTAACTGTGTTGAATGCCTCCACGACATCACCTTCCTCCCATTCGTCAAAATCATCTACCCCAATGCCACACTCTAGCCCAGCACCAACCTAGTGGGGAAAAATGTAAATGTTGAACATCACATTACGGGGACTAATATCAAAATAAAGTGAATGTGAATATAACAAATTAATAATGTGAAAACTTTTTCTTTTTGCAGTGATACTCAGGAAACACATTGTGATATTGCGGGTAAATAACTTTCTCAAAGAGTGCAGTGAAATAAAAATAGTTGATGGATTCATGTTTATCGTACGTACCTCCTTTACAGTTTCTTTCACCCGTCTTAACGAATCAAGTGTACCCATATAAACTTCTTTCCCTTTACGAAGAACCCGAACATTGCAGTCATGAACAACTTTCCCAGTAGTAATCATGCAACCCGCCACCTTGCCACTGCCACTACTAAAAACAGCACGAACTTTGGCTGAACCAATTGGTACTTCCTCCTGATAAAGAAAGACAATGAGGATGGACATCCAAATATTCCAGCAACTTGAAATGACAAGTAAATACTCTAAAGCACACCAAACTATCATGGAAATGGAGAAATAAATAATACTCCCTCTGTTTCAGATTGTAAGACTTTCTAGCATTACTCATATTCATTTAGAAGTTAATAAGTCTAGACACATATATATGCCTAGATTCATTAACATCTATATGAATGTGGGCAACGCAAGGAAGTCTTATATTGTGAAACGGAGGAAGTATTTTAGAAGAAGGATTTCCCAGCATGCAAAGGAATGTGGTCCATGTGGACCTATCAACAAGGGCATGTCCCAAGACTCAACTGGTTCATAAAAGTTGAAAAGCAATTTTCTGCTTACCTCAGCAAGTTCAAGAAGTCCTTCCATGGCATTCCGCAAATCATCAATCAAATCATAGATCACCTTGTACAGACGAATTTCCACACTTTTCTTCTTAGCATAGCTTTTAACTGATCCTGGAGCTTTGACATTAAAACCAAATATAATCCCTTCTGAAGCAACAGCCAGATCAACATCACTGACACTCACATCTCCCGGAGCTTGAAGTAGGAACCTCAAGGAGACATTTTCTTGAGGCAGCACTTGGATTGCTTGCCTAATGGCCTCAACTGAACCCTATTTGATCATATGCTTGGCATATTTAGCAAATAGAAAAAATGAATAGTTCATATTCGATAATGCATATAGTTTGCAAGAGCAGTGGATACCTGAAAATCAACTTTAAGGATGATATTAAGCTCGTGTGTATCAATTCCTACTTGTTTTCCAGATGAAACAGATGCAGCAATGGATGACAGAGTGACTTTCCCTTCCCCAGCTTTCGAAGATATCCTTTCAATTCTCAGTGCTTCAGCACGTGCGTTTGCCCTTTCACGTGCAACATCAAGGTTGTCCACAGACTCAAATTCATCACCAGCAAGGGGTACATTATTCAAGCCAATAACCTGTCATAACATATCATTTCTTGATAAATTCAGGATGCTTACAATAATACTACAAACTTTTGAAGAACATTTAATGCTCAATGGTACTAAAGTAAAAGGCAGCAAGCTATGGAAGAAATGTTTCCTTTTCAATCCATGAATTGTGATAGTATATGTGTAGCATCCAGCTTCCAAAATTGGCATTAGCTTAATCCTTCTATACGAGCAGGCCCATGTATGTATTGCACAGTACTTATACTCTCATCCTTGCTTCATGAAAAAAGAATTAATCTAGAGGAACACATGAACTTGTGATGCTCCCGGCAGCACAATGTCCTACATGGCAAATGACCAGAATCACTCTTGGTGCAATGCTGTATGCCTCCATAGGCTCATAGGCACTCACACTCCAGCTTCCAGAATCTACATTAGCCTAACCCTTCTGTAGGGACAGGTCCATGCACATATATGTCACGTGCTTCACTCGGTGAATAGCTAGAAGAATAGAGACAGTAGTTGTGATTGACAGGTATTTATTATTATTATTATTATCTCTAAACCTATTTTACTAAATTTTACTAAAATAGCTTATCTGTAAGCCTCATGTGCCTTCTGGCCATGTGCCCCGTGCATTTCCTCCAGTCAACACACCTTGGCCCTTCTACAAGTGTGGTCCCACATGGCAGATAGCACTGTACTTACACATTCTTGCCAAATTAAATGTGTAAACCTGGAGGTTTTGTGGTTAGAACATGTGAGCTTATATGCTGACCACAAACTAAATTCTCCATTGGAGACTAATCCCACCATACTGAATAACATGGGCCACAAAGGTCTCCAATAATGGGCTGAGGTGTAATTACTCATCATAATATAGTCCCTGGAAGAAAGCAAGAGAAGTTGATAGCAACAATCAAGCTCAGGAATACCAGGGTGATTAAAGAAAACCCACTTGTGTTTTTTCTTGTCTTCTCCTGTCTACAAAATTCAAATTTTAGAATTTTCAGCTTCTGATAAAAGGGTGCATTTTTACATCATGTAAAAGAGCTCACATATAAGGATGCCATTTAGGACTTGAGCAGGTTTATATTTGCTAGCTAGTCAACAGCGACCTCTATTTATCCATATTCATCAATGTCATGTAACTAACAGTTCTAATGCACATA